GGAAGCGCTGCCTGCACTGTCCCCGTGGGTTGACATATTTTATTTTCAGGGGGGGGGCCGGTGCCATTCATTTGAAGAGAAAGAATTGTGTGTGGCTGACCTCTCAAGCAAAGGGGCTCTGGAGCCGACTCCAGTCTCCTGTCTCCCCTTGAAAGATGGACTGTGCATCTAGCACCCTGAAAAATCAGGGGGATCCTTCACGAGAATGAACTGCTTCTGCCCTTTGGTCTGAGTTAAACTGAAGGACATTTAGCCGGTTGGCTCAGCACCCCTTTTCGGGCTCTGACAACTTCCATCTTTTCAATAAGGATGTGTTCACGGATTGTTATTTTTCAGTTACTTCCTGTTGCTATGAAAAGACTGTCCGACCACAAGCAACTTACAGAAGAAGAGTTTAAAGTTGGGCTTCTGGGAGACTAGCCCCGCCTGGCAGAGAGGTCCCTGAGAGAGCACGTCTCAGCAGCCAGCACAGAGCAGAGTGGGACCTGGGAGCCAGGCAAGGCTCTGAACTCTCAGATCCCCTTACCCCAGCTGACACACTTCCTGCAGCAAACAGCACCAGCCACCGAGGACCGAGTGTTCAAATATCTGAGCCTTTGAGGGACATTTCTCATTAAAACATTCCTGTTACTGCCGGTCGGTGGCGGGGCATGCTTTTAATCCCAGCACTCAGGAGGCAGAGGCAGGAGGAGCTCTGTGAGTTCAAGGTCAGCCTGGTCTACAAAGGGAAATCCAGGACAGCCAAGACTACACAGAGAAACCCTGTCCTGAAAAACAAAAATTCTGTTACTTTTCTATGACTGTGATCACCACAACCGAGGCAGTTTTAGAAGTTAATTATGGTTCCAGAGGGTTAGGTCTGGCAGGGACAGCAGGTGGCAGGCAGGCACGGAGGCTGGAGCCAGAAGCTGAGAGCTGAGGGCTCGCATCTTGAACCCCCCCCCCCCCCACACACACACACAGGGAGCTGAGGTAACTGGGAACACAGTGCAGCTTCTGAAACCTCAAAGTCCTTCCTTCCTCGCTGCCACGCTTCCTCCGGCAGGGCCTCCTAAAGCTCCCCAGTCTAGATGCGCCAGGCTCACAGCAGACGCCTTGCTCATACCTCCACGGCACAGGGGTAGTTCAGACATCCTCAAACAGAAAGCCAGGAAGGGAGACTCTGTCTGACATCTGGGAAACCGAGAGGAGAGCGCCCACCCCGGGACCTCGCTTCTTCGGAGGTCCCTCTTTTCAGTGCTCCGAAAGAACCACTCATTTAGAAATCTCAAGACTGCCCGGCTATAAGAACACAAAGCTTCGTCTTAGGCCCGGCCCATGGGCTGGCAGCCAAGTCCCTGGTCACTTGTATAGGAAATGTCATCAAAGCCTTCTAGGTGTGCCCCCCCTTCTACAGGATGGCAGCAATTTGGCCTCAGAAAATGCACTCAAGTGTTTTTCACAGCTCACAACCTGTTCTTTCTTGGCTTTTTCAAAGCCTTGGCTGTTGTGGAACTTGCTGCCCCTCCCTCTCACATATCTTCTTTGTGCTGTGCTGTTGAGGACACGGGGTCTCAACACACGCTGGACAAGCTAACTACCACTGAGTCAAGCCACTGGTCTATTTTCTTCAGAAGCTGAAGACCCCATGAAGGAAGTAACAGTCCATTTTGCCCACATGTGGGTAAAACAGAAAAAGTCAGACAGCCCTGCTCTTATTCAGTGAATATCCAGTTCGTCAAAATGCGGAGGAGCCTAATGCTTTCAGCCTGGTGCGGTCTCCGTGGACACCGGGAAAGCTTTGCAAGCCCAGCGTGCACAGCTTGATTTCTCCTTGGAGGGGCTATTCTTCAGATGACTCTCCACCTTCCCCATTTCAGGACATGGCATCCTGGTTCCCCCCCAATCGCCTTATTTTTGTTCATTCTCTGGAGAAAGTTAACTGTCCAGTTTCCTCGTCATCAGCATGTTCTAAACATGGCAACCCCATCTCAGGTCCTCAACTAGCTCATGGTTTTTACCAGCAATGTATTATACCGTAATGGGCTCCACTGTGACCTTTTCATGTATGTGTGCGTTTTGATCACCTTTGCCCATCACCCCCTCTGTCCCTCGGCCTATGTGACAGTGACTTAGGGTTGCTCGCAGCAGCGGGCACAGCCTGTGATCCTCAGGGGGAGGCCCTGCGAGCACCTCCCACTTAAGTTAGGCATCGCACATTTCTTTTATCCAGGTAGAGGTGGCGAACACCCGAATTTTAGACTAAACTGTGTCATGTGCCCTTTTTGATCTCAGCATCTTCACGAACTTCAGCCACCCAACGGAGGCTTTACCTGCAGCCCTTTACAATTCACTCTCACGTTTGCGCTGACTGGACCTTGGGCAGGTCTATGGGCAATTTGTGCTTCTGCTCACTTTGAGGCTAATCCTATTCATCTGACCAAGATTTCATGGACTACCTCTTGTTGGGGTATATTACCATTTGTGGACATTTTAAACCAAGTGGTGCACTTGAGAATTCTCAAGGGTGTTGTGGGTGTTCAAAATGGGAAGGAAGGGCCAAGTCTGGTGCCGTGCGCCTTTCATCCCTGTACTTGGGAGAGCCAGGGCCACACAGTGAGACCAAGACAGAGCTGAGAGACTATCCTGTGTCTAATGTGCACACTCACGGGGCACCCACCAGCATTCCATCCTTGGTTAATACGCTCTTTGCCTGTTGCCCAGTGTCCTCAGCATGTGCCATTGCAGCAACAGAAGAGCGTTTTGCTGGTTTCTGAAAACAACACAAATCACTACAAACACGGACTTAAAAACCAAGCCATTTAATTGTATCTTTGAAAGTAAACAATACATGGACCTGGACCCCAAGCCCTAAGAATGCTAGCGTTACAGGCCCCACAATGTGGTATGGTCTGAAGAGTTCAGAAGGGTCTGAGCTCCAGTGCTGGGTGGCAGAGTATGGGATTCATGAATTCCATTTAGCAATTATGTCAATTGTCACCCATGGATCTTGTAAGATAGGAAAAAAAAAATTGCAGTTTTAAGGATAGAAGAACAAAGAGATTCAAAGGCTATGTTGTTCTCATAATCGGACACCTGAGCCACCACACCAATTCATGCAACTGAAGCTGTGGCGTAGGGTTGAGCTCGGTCCTTCTGTCCATTCATCTCCACAAAATGCCACAGCAAGGGTGACCGAGGCAGAGTGCGCTTGCCAGGATAGCCTTTTAACAAGCGCTGAATGTGACAAAGAACCCTCTAGTGGCACTCGGAGTTAGTTTATAAGATTTTAATTTACAAATTAAAAAAGCTACACGATTTACTTTTTCTCCTTTTTCTCTTCTTTTTTCGCGTCACTCTTCTCCTTGTCTTTGTCATCTTTCCTTTCCTTCTTGCTCTCCTCCTTTTCCTGTCCCTCCTTCTTCTCTGCATCGCGGTTGGCAATCTTGTTGTTGATGAGGTTGTGTAAGGCGACCACAGAGCGGATCAGTGAGGCCAAGTACACCACCACCATCTGGTCATTGGTCTTCAGGTAGAAGGCCTTGACGAACTCCTGCAGGCTGGCGTCCGGAAGCAGGTTGAAGACATCCTGTAGCTGGTAGATGATCTGGTGGTTGATTGGTAGCTTGCCGCTGGCTACTTTCTCCAGGTAGCTCCTGATATCCAGGAGCTTGGAGTTCAGTCCCTTCAAACCATGGACCTGGTTTGTGATCCGCTGGGAGAGAGTTCCCACTGTAGTGTCCTTGATGTCTCTGGAACGACCCAGAAGAGAGGCAAAAAGGTCATCAGGTCCCACGCCCACAATGTTCAGGACTTTCTGGGGCTGCAGTGTAGGCAATAACAACCTCCTGGCTGTCCGACTGTGGCCTGGTCTTTGCCCTCTCCCACCCGCTTTGCTACAACGCTGAGCAGCTTAAAGCAGTCAGTGGCCATTTTCAAAACCAGGAAGTACTTTAGTGGCTGGTAAACATAAAATCTTTCGGTATAGCTTATACACATATCCCATCCAGGATGAAGAGTTTCCTGGAGAGCACAGGCCTGCGTTTACACATCTGTCTGCTGTCGCAGCCAGCACTGAGATTTCTGGACAAAGAATGCTGTTCATAGCCACACATGCTCAGTCAAGACACTTATAGGTCAGCTTGTGCAACCACACTGATTTATAAGAAACCTAAGGCTGAAGAGGCAGCTCACGCCTTTAGTCCAGGCACCTTGCAGGATGAGGGAAGGGGATAGTGACTTTGAGTAGCCTGGGCTATGGTGAGACTGTGTTTTAAAAACTAAAAAGGCTCAGAAAGTGGCTGTGACCCATCTACAAGAGCAGCACAGTGGGTGGCAGCAGGGGACCGGCCCTAAGCCCTTACTCAGACGATGCAGCCCTCAGGCAGGGGCTCTGCTCTGAACAGAGGGGCGCCCTGGGCACCCAATCCGGTAGCCTCAAATGCAGAGACCTACCGGCTTCTGCCTCCAAGTACTAGATTTCTACGTGTGCACTACCATGTCCAGCCGGATTTACTATCATGTTTGTCCCTGTGTGTGCGTGTCTGCTTACTTGTACCTGTGCCGTATGTCCCTAGCGCCTGTGGAGGTTAGAAGAGGACGTGAGATCCCTTGGAACTGGAGTCACAGGGGGTGTGAGCTGCCACATGGGTGCTGCAAACTGAACCTGGGTTCTCTGCAAGAGCAGCCCACGCTCTTAACCCCGAGTCTCCTCCAGCCCCACCACCCTCACCTTAACAAGTGCTCCACGCCAACTTCCTCAGCCTCCTCTGCCCCGATCTCACTGGTCACATGCTCAAAGGTTTTCGATGTTGGCGTTCCGTCCTGTGAAGAGGCTTAGCTGTTGTTACTGATTTTCAACACGGCAACTGGCGTGTTTCTCTTCTCACTCTTGACCTTCTGCTGCCAGTCAGCATGTGTCATGATACAGACAAAGACTTTCACAGCAATGGTGGGGCCAGGTTTGCTGGGACTGCTGTTAGCTTATTTGCATGGTGTCACCACTAAATTGTTTTCTTGTCTAGGAAAATTGTTGTATTCCCTTAAGCCCACACTCGGGTGGTGTGTGTCAATACTCTAAAGATTCTTACTATTTCTAGAAAATATCGAACACCTGCACTGGAGGCACAGTCACACTAACAGATTTAATGTACCCATGTACTGTTCCATGGATCACATGACCTAAGAGTCCCACATGTGACAAACAGAGTAACTGCTGGTTTGAATGAAAGCATGCACTGAGGGCTGAGTCACCACTTGGCCATCCGGTGACTCAACTGTGGGACTCCAGAAGACATCTTTTAGTCCTGTTGCCAGCAGAGGCTGTGCCCCTTCTGTGAGGGCTCTGCAGACTTGCAGGCTCTGCCAGCTGTGCTAAGAGAGCCACAGGGCCTTGGGCAAGACTCTCAAGTCACATTACACACTGGACCTGCTGCAAGTATGTCTGGTTCTCATTTTATTCAGGATGGTATGAATTCCCCCAGGCCATGCTGGTCTTTGGGCACTAGGATGGCCCGAGCCTTCTGAGTTTCTAGACGTCACGACATTTGGGTCAGGGCCAGGGATAAAGCCTTACTGCAACCAAGGCTTGGTATAAGGCTGGGAGGGCACAGCTTAGAACATCCTTTTCAAAAATCCTTTTTTTTGTGTGTGTGTGTCTTTTGAGACAGGTCTCTCTGTATAGCCTTGGCTGGGCTCGCTTTGTAGGGCGGGCTGGCCTTAAACTCACAGAGATCCGCCTGACTCTGCCTCCCAGAGGGCTACGATTGCTGGCATTTGCCACTGTGCCTGGCTCCTTTTTCAAATTCTAAAACCATATAGTAAGAAATATTATACTCTTAATCCCTCTTGGCTCTGAAGACCAGGCTCCTTGGACAGTCCCCCACAAACCCTGTTACATCAGGTTCTACCCAAGATCTCACAAGCAGCTTTCCTAAGGATATAGAAAGGCTGGCTACTGTTCACTGCTTTCCTCAGTGCAAGACAAGTGTGAAAAGATCACAGGTCTTGCCACCTGGCACTTTAGAGCTCTGTCTTGCTGTCTTTGAAAACCCATGGCCCGCCTGAAGGGCCTGGCATCCTTAAGAGGACACAACACACCATACTGGGTCAGGAACTAGCTCTCAGGCCTGGCCTTTCCCTTGCTATGAAGGTCTCTTGTAATCATTTAGCTACCAGACTTCACTGATAACTCCGGCTCTCATCTCATTACCCAAGACTTCAGGGTCTTTAGTGAAAAAGGATTATAGCTTTCTTGCTCCTTTTCTATTTCTAAAATTTGATGATTTAAAAACTCAAGGCTGGTCTGCTAGCAGGACCTTCTCTTTGTTATAGAGAGATAAAGATTTGTTGAGTTGAACATGGAAAAGAAAACAAACGAAACAAAAAACTTCTAAACCTACCCACGAACTTGCTAACCCAATCTCTAGCCCCGATCAGGCGACTTACATCATGAACTTCTTCCACTGAAATGTAAGCTTCGGTGGGAAGTCCCAGGTCCTTTGGCTTCACGTCAATAATGACCAATACCTGGTAGAAAAACGCAGCTTAGCAAGCTTCTTCCCTTCTGATACAAGGCACAGCCCCACCCCTTCTTCTGACGACTCAGACCACATTCTCATTCAATCAGAAACAAGCCAGATGTTCAGCAAGAATAAGTTTACATTTCACAGGATCCATCAGGCATGGATGAATCACGGGAAATATAAATTTCGCCTGTGCCCAAATTTAACGCTGTTTCACTCCCTCCCAATTTTTTTTTGAAATTTACATTTAAAAATTAAAATTTGCTAGAAAGAAAAAAAGAAAGAGAACACCCAATTGTGGGAGCTGGTTCTCTTTCCACAGTGTGGGTCCAGGAAGGAAGAACTTGGTAGGTTTGGTGACAGGAACCTTTACTCACAGAGCCCCTTGCTGGCCCCACCAGCCAATCTTAACTTTGATTTTCTCACTTACAAAGACAACATATAGTTTCCGAGAGCAGTGAGGCATATATGTGGCACTCAGTGGGCGCTGTTATTTGCTAAAAACACTAGGTCAGAACAGATTCCACAGAACCACATAGTACTGCAAAAAGCTACAGAGAGGCACAGGACGCTTTGTGACCCAGGTCTTCTGAGGACGGTCTTGAAGCTGGCGAAGAGAACCAGAGGGTATTCTGACAGCAGCGTACTTACAGAGTTGGGGCAGTATCTTTTCATGAGCTCATTGATGGCGATGTCGTTTTTGTGCAGCTTGGGGCCAGTGTGGTACCACCCAACTATTCTTTCTCTGGCTGGGAAGCAAAAACTTAGTTTTAGTTATTTTATCAAAAGTTGTACAACTGACTCAAAAATAATAAAAAACACTAGCACTTAAGTTTTCTACCTTTTTGAGAGTTCCAGACAAAAATAAATCTCGACAGATCTGTGAAATCTAAAACTCCAAAACAGAACTCTAAGAAAATAAGCAGTGTGCGATCCAGAGACATCTGTGCCCCAAACTTGCCTAGGGACCAGTCACGCGTGAAATGACCAGTGATCAATTACAGAGCAATATATGAGCACATACAAGTTCCTATCCCAGTGGCTGCAGCTGTGTGGAGGGTGCTACCCACAGGGACATGACTGCTGTCCTGAAATAACAGGAACAATGCACTCTGCCAGTACTAAAGCTCTAGGGGCGGGTACATCAGAAGACCAACCCAGTCCAGCCTAGGTGGTCTACACGGCCTTAAACTTCTACTGTAGTTTATTTATTTTACCTCATTTCTTTATCCCCATTAGTCTGTTTTCACTTGGTCCAGTTAAGTGAATCAATCCTTAACAATACACACATACAACTAAAAACTCAGACTTACCATTGACCTTCTTAAACATTCCATACATGTTTTCCAAATAATCATGGTCTAAAAACCAGACAGAATCATCTTTGTCATCTTCATCAAAAGGTACTAAAGAGAGAGGGGAAAAAAGAAAATGGAGACTTTGCCTACGGGCTGGAAGGCCGCCCACGGTGGACCCTCAGCTGCACCTGCCTCCCTCATGTGAACTGTCTAACGCAGTAATGCTTCAGCTAAAACCTCCAGACTTCCAGCTTCTCTTAAAATGCTAAAGACTTAGACCCCCCGGGGAAGAACCTTAAAAAGGACACACATTCTCTGGCTTGCTGAGGGCCCTTTCTTTCTGACATTTCCTGCACGGTCAACTACATTACCTACTGTCCTTTTACAAACCACAGATCCTGCCAACAGTAACATACGGAGCATAAACGTAATGTTCTGGTAAAGATTTGTGACAGGGCATACGGTGACAGTCCCCCTCATCTTTCCTTGCCCTGCCACTGCCAGGTTTAAAATCTTTAGTGTTGGAGCCTATGAGCTACCCCGATGGCTTGTTCGGAAACACAGCCACTCCTCCACTTCACAGTCCGCAGCAGTCCTTACACTCCAGCAGCTGACACTGCAAGCTAAAACTCTTCACTCTCTGGGCTAGTGTGTGGCCACCAGGCTCCCTTTCCCATGTGTTAGCAATTCTGAAACAGGATCTTCAGGCTGTAGCAACAAATGTTCATTTTTTTAGTAATCAATATCAAAAAGCTTGTCCTTTACCTGCAAAACTGTTGGATACGTCAAGTACTTTCTTTTGCCATGATCCCAAAAGCACACCAACAACCCGCTTCTGGTTTCCAACCTTGCCAATTCTGAATGAGAAAAACAGGTGGTCAGTCTTTATCAGCACACACTCAGACACAAAATGTAGCTACTCAGTGGCAAGTTACCAACAACACAGATACAATTTAGCTCATGTGAGATCCTAGGTCCACAAACAAATGTAACAGGTTAGTTCCAGATAATAAAGATAAGGAAAGAATCCTAACTCACACTGGAAGCCTTACTTTCTAAAGATTGCAGATACTTGTATGCAGAAAAATTCGGGCCTAGTTTTCTTTCCCAGTTTCCCCCTTTCCTTTAAACTCTCTCCCTCTTCTCTACACTGAAATCTCTCCTGGGAAGAAGATGCTACAGTTGAGCACCAGTTCTATGGCACAGCCAATTCTTCTCTAGAACACCTGCACCACGCCAATCAGCTCCAGTTCTACTTCATCCTCTGTACAATCTAGGGGCTCAGGGAGTGATTCCAAACAGGGAGAAAGGCTGGATGAGCGAGAAGGCTCTTGCTTCACAACTTCCACCTTAAACCTTCTGTGTGGTTTGCTGCTAAGTAGCTACAAGCATACTGCTCTGCAAAGGAATCTCTTCTTTAGCCACTTAGCAAATTGTGTATGTGGAAACAATTCTCTGCTATGGAAACCTACTGGCTACAGTAAAATGAATTACACCTCTTAAACAGTCCCAAGTTCCACAGGTTAGTTTAACTGTAGTGTTTTGCTTAACATAGAGCGTGGCAAACCAATACTAAATTTAGGGTACAGGTAGAATGAAGGGGTTCTGTGTTCCTGCTGGCTATTTTTTTTTCTTTTTTTTAATCCATTGAAAATACTTCAAACAATGAGTTTCCACATGTCAAGAGACACTTCACCCACGGGCCTTTTGGTTTACAAAAGACCATTTGTGTCTTTTTAAAAAAAATTTTAAAAAGATTTATTTATTTATTTATTAAGTACACAGTATTCTGCCTGCACACCCGAAGAAGGCACCAGATCTTATTACAGATGGTTGTGAGCCACCATGTGGTTGCTGGGTGTTGAACTCAGGACCTTTGGAAGAGCAGTGGGCGCCGTTAACCTCTGAGCCATCTCTCCAGCCTCATTTGTTGTTAAAGCGTTCCATGACACAACCACCGGCAGTGGCTCACCACCCTTAGGGACCCTAGTCTCTCAAAGGAGCAAAACTGCACCTATTGTAGAAAAGCCCACAGGTCCTGTTAAAGTCGAGGCCCCACCGTCAATACAACTGAACCCGGGATCAAACCCCTCCGCCTCGAGATTGTTTTCGGCCCTGGCTGAGTTAGCTGCACAAAGCCTGGGTCGGACCGGGCACCGGCACGACTTTACAGCAAGCACAGGCTCCCTACTGGATCTTCCTATTTGTTAATTCAGCTAATTAGCTTGTAAAACTTCCGAACACGTGCAACAGGTCTGGCAGGACGAACGGCTGGAGAGAGCGAGGGTGGCAGTGGCAGGAGCTAACCGGGCGAACTGCAGGGTGGCCCCAGTCTACACCTGCCTCGTTTTTAAAGGAAAAAGCTGGCACCTTATCCACGCTTTAAAGGTACCATCCAGCCAGAGTCCCAGGGAAGAAACCTGGAGGGTACAACCACTGCCTCATCGGGGACGCCGAGGGCAGACTTTCGGTGACAGCTTTGGCAGGCGCAGACACGCGGGACCGAAGCGCCGTCCTACCACACCGAGCTGCTCCGGTGAAAGGCCCGGCCTCGGCGGGCAGCACCGTCCCCATTCCGGCCGCTCAGCAGGCGGGCCGGGCCCGGGAGCGGCGGCCTCGGCGGGAGGCAGCCCGTGGGCTCCGGGCACGGCGGTGGGGAGCCTCCAGGGTCGCTCGCCCCCCGCCCGCGTCCCGGGCCGCCGCGTTACGCCCGGCGCGCCCGTGACTCAGCAGCCCTGCGCCGGGCGGCCGCCGCGCGGCGCCTGCTCACCGGTTGAAATGATCCACCACACTGAGCAGCACCAGGGGGTGGACCACCACCTTCTGCACCGCCAGCTCCGGCATCGCGACACAGCCCGCCCGCCGGCCCGGCTCCCCGCTACCCGCAAACACCGGCAACCGCAGCGACACAGGCCGCTCCTCCAGGCCCCAGCGCCTCCCCTTCCGGTTTGACCGCCGCCGCACAGCCGACTTCCGCTCCCAGAGCGCTTCGCGCGTCCGCCCGTACTGTCGCCAGGGCCGCCATCTTGAGAAAGGGAAAGGGCGCTTTGCTTTTTGCGCGACTCCCTCTGCGGAAGCTTGAGGTGGCGTAGCTTTGGGCCTCAGTTTCTTCCCAGCTCACCATCTCTCCCGCTCCGAAAATTGTAGAAAAAGGAACAGAGACATAAATAGTAACAGTTTATACTTCTACCAACTCAAGTAGTTAACAATATATATTTAACTTTCGCCTCAAGTCAACACTTCAAGATTTTGCAGAGGAATTTTATTACTTAATGTTTTATTTCATCATTTTTGAAAAGGGCCCTTGTGTAACACTGACTGCCATGGAACTTGCTGCGCATGTGCCACCACTGTTAGTATTTATATAAAAATGCCATGCACACAATCTAAATCCATTGGGGTTTATTGGAGGGAGATGGAGAGAGAAAAAGACAGGAGAGGAGAGGGAGGGAGGGGGAGCGAAGGCAAGAGAAGGGAAGAGCAAAAGAGCAAGAGCGAAGGGGCGTGGCCAACAGGTCCCTGTGTACCTAGCCCAGATGATGTCACAGGACCCAGGTTCTGACACAGGATGTTGTCAGGACCCTAAAGGTCCCTAGGGGAAGGTCGGTTGAATTGCCTGCACAACATAAAAATCACACCTGGCTTAGAAGAGGTTTGGATGTAGGGTTAGGTAATTTATCTCATTTTTATTGCTGGGAGTTTTCCTGAGTGTTCACTTTCATATAATGAATGCAGTGATATTCAGATTTTGTTAATCCCAAAGATTTAAGGAGGAAGACCATTTACCCAAGTCACCATGGGCAAATTAATTAAAGTAAGCAATTAATTAAAACAAGCCTTTAAATTTGTGTATATGGGCTATCTCTCCTTAAAAGTGGGGTTCAAGGAATCAGCATTGGATATGAGGAAGACAAGGTTTTTATAGCTCAGAGTTATGGGGATTTCCAAAGAGGGGATTTGGTGTGCAAAACAGGGTTACAAAAACAGAACATAAGCATAACAAGTTAGTCAGAAGGACCTCCTGAAACAAAGGCATGATTGCAAGGTGTTCCTAGCAAGGCAGTCATAACAACAGAACAATTTTTTCAAACAAAGGTAGGGTTTCAGGATAATTGGAGACAAAGGTGTAGTTTCCGGGAATGGATAGTATACAGAAACTTTTGTAGTTATGGTCACGAGTGTGGCATAGCCCAATCCTTGAGAAACAGAGGTTTAATCATAAACAGAAATGAGCCTAGTTTGTCTTTACTGTAAGATAGCTTTTAAGCCCAAGATGGAGGCAGGGCAATTCATCAGTTTCCCCCTGTCTTTATGTAACTGTGTAACCAGAGCTAGAAAAAAAAAAAAAAAAGCCAGTTTGTGCTAGTTTTATACATTTAAACTTAAGGGTTAAAGAAAAGAAAGCATATTCCAGTACTAACTAGGAAAGAGAAAAAGGCTACAATAGAAAACAATGTGAGACAGGCTTCAGCTTGTTTATAGGAGGAAAAGTACATTAAAATTCACTCAGGTATATATTTTGTTTCATTTTAAAGATTCTGTTTAGCTAGGTTGTGCTGGCACATACCTTAATCCTTGCACTTGGGAGGCAGAGGCAGGTGGATCTCTGAGTTTTAGGCCAGCTTGGTCTACAGAGTGAGTTCTAGGACAGCCAGGGCTACACTGAGAAACCCTGCCTTGAAACATTACCCATCCCTCCCCCAAAATAAAGATGCTGTTTGTCATCATTATTATTGTATGTTTAGGAAGTACGAGTGTGCTTGTGTGTGTGTGTGTGTGTGTGTGTGTGTGTGTGTGCATATGGAGATCAGGAGACAACTTTGTGGTGTCTGTTCTTTCATGCCACCTCAACATGGATTTGAGGATTAAACTCAGATATTTAGGCTTTACCTACAGAACCACTTCCCCAACCCCCAAGATAGACTCTTCAGTTCTAAACGTTAAGAGGTACAGGGAACCTGTTTTCATTAGTGTGTGTGTGTGTGTGTGTGTGTGTGTGTGTAGAGGGATGGAGTTTGGCTATACTAACATTTAATAATCTGGATTTTAAATTTGAAAACCTATCTGCTTTAAACCTCCGAACCATCTCTCCAATATTAATTTTTGTTTTGAGACAGGGTTTTTCTGTGCAGCTCTGGCTGTCTTGGAACTCACTCTGTAGACTAGGCTGGCCTTGAGCTCACAGAGATCCACCAGCCTCTGTCTTTCCAGTGCTGGGATTAAAGGCATCCACCACTACTGCCCAGCATGTCTTCTGCTTGTAACTTGATTTCTGTTTAATTTTCCTGTTAAGACTCATGAAAAAGTAAAGGCTGGGTATATTCATTGTCATTCATAATTAAGGAGATAATAAATATTATTTTTCTTCTTTAAAATTTTTGTTGGTTGGTTTGGGATTATTTATTGTTTATGCATTTGCTTGCATGGTGCTTGTGTATGTATTTGTGTGTGTGCCTCTGTGTATCACATATTTACAGGTGCCCACAGAGGCCAGTTGGATCTCTTGGATCTGGAGTTATGTAGGTCTGTGAGTCACCAAGAACCAAACTCAGGTTCTGCAGAAGAGCAGTGTGTGCTCTGAACCTCCAAGCCATCTCTCTAACAGTGTGTTGATGATCTTCATGGTCCCTGCCATCATTGCTTTTCTCCGAGTCTCCCTTCTTTCTCATGCTCATTATTTGAGGTATCATCACCTTTGCAATACACAAAACTGTGCGGTGGGCTACACCTTTAACTCCAGTCCTCAGGAGGCAGAGGCAGGTGGATCTCTGAGTTTACCACTCTGGTCTACAGGGTGAGTTCCAGGACAGCCAGAGCTACAGAAAAACCCTATCTTGAAAAACCAAGACCAAAAAACAAAACAAAACAACAAAAACCCAAAAAACAAATCCTAAAACTCAAAACTTTTTACGGAAGTAGACGGGTTGTAATTTTCTTTAAGGAGATGATTGTAAGCGTTTGTTGTATAAAGTCTCTTATTCACGAGGGAGATATGAAGAAAGGGAACTGACTTTTAAAGAGCTATTTTGGGGAACTTTACCACACATTCTGGATCAAAGCTTTGCTACTTCATCGTTATTATTTATTTATTTTTTGTTTTTGAAAACATTAATGTGGCGGCACATACCTTTGTGATTCCAACAGAGACAGGTGGAACTCTGTGGGTCCCAAGCCAGCCTGGTCTATACAGCAAGTTTCAGGCCAGGCAAGGCTAGTGAGACCCCTTCCATAAACTGTTAAGGTAGGGCTAGAGATGAGACGGTCTGTAGGAGGCTGCTTCCAGCACACACAAATCCCTGGGCTTCATCCCAGGACCCCCATGCAGAAAATGTTGGTACATTTACCAAAAACATATTTAATTTCTGTTCTTTTTTCCTTTATTTTGAGACAGGGTCTCATTGTGTAGTCCTGGCTAGTCTGAAACTTATTATGTAGACCAGACCATCGTCTTCTGGGATTACAGGTGGAGCTATCGAGCTCTCAAAATAAGGTTGAAGAACACACTTTCTGTTTCTGCTCACAGACACTCATTAGAACAGCAAGTGGTGCCACACAGAGAGACAAAACAGTAAAGATTTCCCATCCTCTCACCTCCAGATAGGACCAATACTCTGCAGGAAATACTTGAAAGTTTTGAAGAATTCTGGTTTCGGGCTCTGACAGTGTCCATCCTGTCCCCTTGCTGTGGGGTTATTGGACCTTACAGCACCACTCACTTTAAACTTTTAATTTCTGCCTCACGAGTGATAGGGAGAATGCTTTGCATGCTTTGCAGTTGAGTCCCTCAGTGGCTGAGCACGCGTGGTCTTTGTGTCTATGAAGAACTGGGGGACGTGTGCTCGGAACCTCCTATCATGTGTCTAGGCAGTCTTTTGATATCCTTCCTGGGTCCCGCCAATCAGATTTCACAGCTTGTTTTTCTTAGTTTGGAGAATCTTACTTTGCTTTTATTATTATTTTTTTTTTATTCCTTTAAATTTTTTTTTACACTTACTAGTATGGTTTTGTGTATATGTGTGTGGGCATTCATGCCATGGTGTGTGTGTGTGTGTGTGTGTGTGTGTGTGTCAGAGGATACCTTTTAGGAGTTGGTTTTCTCCTTTCACCATGTGCTTCCTGGGTATCAGAACCAGGGCATCAGGTTTGCTGAGAAGCATCTTTACCCACGGAGCTGTCTTCTGAGAAGTCAATCGGATGACTTCTACTACTTCCCAAGATAACAGAACTTTTAGATTATGAAAACAGGGGGCTAGGAGGGGGGATCAGCCAGTAGAGAGCCTGCTGTGCAAACACAAGGACCCGGGACGGGGTCCCCAGGGCAGCTCTGGAGACTCGGGTGTGTTGGTTTGTCTGTGACCTCGGAATGGAGGGTTGGAGGCAGGGAGAGCCATGGAGTTTGTTGACCAGTTAGCTTAGCTCTCAGTAAACCTTTGGCTCAGTGACAAATCCTGTCAGAGAAAACAAGGTGGGGAGGGATGGAGGAAGACACTGGGCATTGAACTCTGGGCCGCGTACATGCACACACGCCCACGCGCACCTGTATGCATACACACACACACACACACACACACACACAAACATGCGCTCACAGGTACGCTGCACACACACATTCACACAAAAGTGTTTTTAAACCTGTGGGCCTGGAGAGATGGCTCAGTGGTTAAGAGCACCGGCTGCTCTACCAGAGGACCTCAGTTCAATTCCCAGCACCCATATGGCAGCTCACAGCTGTCTGTAACTCCAGTTCCAGGGGACCTGATGCCCTCTCACCAACGCACGTAAAAAAAAAATAAAAATAAAAAAATAAATGAAAAGCCCTAAAGGTAGTGTCTCACTGTGTAGCCCTGGTTGTCCTGGAGCTTGCTATGTAAAGGAGGATGACCTCCAAACTCACAGAGGTCCACTTGCCTCTGCCTCCTGAGCCCTGGGGTTAAAGACATGGGATTGCAC